AAGAGGGGGAGAGAGAGAAATATAAATGTGAGAGAGAAGCATTGGTTGGTGCATCCACACATGCACTGACTGGGGATCAAACCCACAACCTAGGTATATGCCTTGACTGAGAATCGAACCCACAACCTTTTTGTGCATAGGATGACACTCTACCCAACTGAGTCACCTGGCCAGTTGAGCATTTTTGCAGAGTTCATAAGGAATACTGGTCTGTGATTTTCTTGTGATGTGTTTGGGATCATGTAGATTCCACCGTGTGCTGGTCACATAGGATGAGTTAGGAAGTGTTTCTTCCTCTGCAATTTTTTTTTCTATGTTTGAGAAGGATTGGTGTTGATTTGTTTTTAAATGTTAGGTAAAATTCACCAGTGATGCTATCTGGTCCTGGAATCTTCTTTATTGTAAGGTTAGTATTCACTTTAAAAAAAAGATTTTATTTATTTATAGAGAGGGGGAAAGGAGGGAGAAAGAAAAGGAGAGAAACATCAATGGGTAGTTTCCTCTCATGCACCCCCCACTAGGGGACCTGCTCCATGACCCAGCCATGTGTCCTGACTGGGAACTGAACTGGCAACCCTTTGGTTAACAAGCCAGTGCTCAATCCACTGAGCCACACCAGCCAGGGTGAGTATTCACTTTTTAAACACAAGGGAACTGAGGCACAGAGAGGTTAAGTGACTTGCTCAAAGCTGAATCATTAGTTAGTGACAGATCCAGGGTTTGAATGCAGGCATTCTGGCACAGGAGTCCAGATGATAATGCTTTTATCATTACACGAGGCTGCTAATTTTCTATCTTGCTGATGTGCCCATAGTTACCAAATATTTCTGTTAAAATTCTTGGAAATGGGTAACAGTTTGATTCTGTGAATATGGGGATTTAGTAGTTGCCTGCTGGGGCAGTACCCAGAACCTCAGGAATCTTAAACAACCAGACCATGGGAGGGCAAGAGCTGAGGCTCTGAGGGCCTCAGTAGGGGACACTCCTGTAAATTTTCTCTAGAACTTTACCATTACAGGGGCTCTTCCCCAATACCTTTCAATCTCTGTGTCTAGCTATTTAGATGTCAGGGTCCTAAGGGCAGGACTCTGTTGGGACAGTTATCTGTACCCACTTTGGTCACTGAGGGAGTGCTTTGTGTCACTGTGTAATTATTGCTGAGTAGTTTATTGATACCTAATAAACTATTCCACAACTTAGTGCTTAAAACATTAGCTTAAGCTAAATATTATTCTTGTATTTCATGATTCTGTGAAGCAGGAGTCACATGGGCATACTCCCAGGGAATGGCTTTTCCTGTTTCATGATGCTTAGGGTATCATTAGGGTTGGCTTGAATGGTGGGGGCTGGTCAGGCACTTCTTTCTCTTTGTGTGGCACTTTCCACTTGACTAACTTGTGCTTCCTCACAGTGTGGCAACCTCAAGTAGCCATACTTGTTATATACTAGTACATGGCTCCAAGAGGAAGGAAGTGGAAATTGCCAGTTTTACTGAAGGCCTGGCCCAGAATACACGTGGCATCCTTTTAGCTATACTCCAATGGTCAAAACAGTTAATGCCCATTCCAAATCAAGGGAATGAGACCTAGAAGCCACTTCATCATGAGAAGTAGTATGAGACAAGGTTAAGAATTTGTAGCTATCTTTAATCTGCCCCTGAGAGAGTGGGAGTATGAGCATGGCCACCAAGGTCTCATCATGAGCTGGGTGGCCACCTCAGGTAGTATGTACTATTCTAGAGTTTTAGACCCCTGGGTTGGCCTGAACACTCCTTTTCCCTTTACCTAGTTTCTTGCTTTAGGCCATATGAGGAATGGAGAGAGAGGGAGGTGTGGTGAGGAGGGTTGGGGTCAAGAGAATGGCTCTGAGAGATGCTGTTGGGACAGAATAATGGCTTGCATAGATATCCATTCCCTAGTCCCCCCAAACCTGTGATTGTGTCAACCTATCATGCCAGAAGGACTATATAGATGTAATATATCTTAAAGCAGAGAAACTGTCCAGTGGGCCTAATCTAATCACACAAACTCTTAAAAGCAGAGAGCTTTCTTTGGCTGGAAGCAGAAGATGTGGCAGAAGGGGAGGTTCAAATGGTGAGAAGGAGTTGAACTGCTTTTGCTGCCTTTGAAGATATAGGAGTCACAAGCCAGAAAATGAAGGTGGCTCTAGAAGCTGAGAATGACTGCTGGCTGACAGCAGGGACATGTGGATTTCAGTCTAAGTAAGCCTGGAAGTAGATTCTCCCAGAGAGCCTTCAGATAAGAGCCCATCCCCCTGACACCTTGATTTTGGCCTTGAGATTCTTAGAACAGAATCATGTGGAACTCACCTGAACTACAGAACTGTGAGCTAAAAAAACTGAGTGTTCTAAGCCGCTAAGTATATAGTAATTGGCTATCGGAACCATAGAAAACTAATGCAGATGCTCATACTTGCTCAAAAACCATGAAGATAAATCAAATCCTCTAAGACAAAGCATCAGGCTGATCCCACCTGTGCCCCAATGCTATGCACTCACCCTTTACCAGTTGCCCAGTAACAGGGAACCTCAGGGCAATATGTGCTCCCTGCATACCTCCTAGGGAACAAACCTCTCCACCTGCTCTTGAGAACAACCCAAGTGGAGGCTTTGGACAAATGAGTGGCCAGGAATGAGGCATCAGCCAAGGGAGGCTAGGTAGGAGCTAAAACCCACATAACACAATACTAGTATACTGGATGGACCAGGCCAGTGTTTTCTCCTGGGGCTTCCTTGAGAAGGGTACCTTTGCATCTGCTGGGTCACCTCCCTTCCTTCCTCACAGGAAGCTCACCTGGACCAGTCCCAGTTCTGAGGGACATAGTCCTGGAGAATCTGTGACAGGCTGTACCATACAGAATTTTTCACAAGGTGACTGATTCTCAAGGCCTAAGGAGCAAAGAGTGTGTGTGGCAAGGGTCCCTTGGTATGCAGAGCCAGATGGCACTGTCCACGACACCCCTGGCAGTCTAGGTTATCTCTTTGACCTCTGTATGACTCTGCTGAGTCATCCAGCTGCAAAGATCTGTCTGGAGAATTCTCAGGTAGCCCTCGAGACTATTTCATTTCCTAGGGCTCTTGAGAGGTAGAAAGAATGTGGGTATGTTGCTAGAAACTGCTTTTCATACTGAAAAGCTGAGTTGAGATTTGTGCCTTAGATAGGGCTCTCCTAGAAGCAGATCCTGAGATGAGAGTTTAGGTTCATTTGAGAAGTGCCTATAAGGCTGTTGGAGTGAGGCTGGGAAAGGGAATCAAGTAAGATCGATCAGCTTTTACAGTGGGTGACCAGAGCTTAGTCCCACGGGGAAACCCTGCAAGATGAGAAAACTGTTGGGTTGGCCGAAAAGTCTGTATCATTTTTTCTATAAAATAAAAGACGGTTTTCATTTTCACCAATAGCTTTATTGATTTGGATATTTTGAGTGTGTTGGCTATCTCCTGCTTCGTATAATGTTGATTGTTCTCAATTAATGTCTCAATTTGATTGCTATCAACTGGTCTACTGAACTGTGGAGCATTACACAGAGAGAAATCTATGGTACAAAAGCTCACAAATCACTTTCACATATTCCATCAGTCACAATACCTTCTTCATATACTGCACAAATCTTTTTTTTGTGTTCCAGTTGCACTTTTACTTTTCTTGAAATAATAAAATATAATATGCCGAAATGTTGCATATTTTCTTCCATCTTCAATATTAAAATGGCTACACAAAAATTCACCAATTTTGGGAAGTTTTCTTTAAATGCATACTGATATGACAGCTTTCACAATATAATATCAAAAATTGTTTGTAATGAAGTTAAAGACAACTATGTGCTACTAGAGCCATCTCACAAGAAAAAAAACCAAATGAACTTTTTGGCCAACTCTAGACATGTGTCAGGATAACCCCTCTACCCTGGGGTGAGAGAGTTAAGGTATTTATACTCCAGTTCTTGAGAACCACTTGTTGAGGGCTGCTAGAGTTGGAGTAATTCCGTAGCACTCCTTCCTGTGACTCCAAAAGAAGACCTTGATTAAAAGTTTCAAGTGATGTGCCTGGGCCCCACTAGACAGTACTATACTGGGTATTTGTTCCAGGCTCTTCTGTAGGGAACCATATAAAAACCCACTGTAGCCTTGGCAAAGTGACTCAGTTGGTTAGAGTATTGTCTGGGGCATGTACCTTGGTTGTGGATTCGATTTCCGGCCAGGACATATACGGGAGGCAACCAATCAATATTTCTCTCTCACATTGATGTTTCTGCCTCTCTCTCTCCTTCTCTCTCTCTAAAATCAATAAACATATCCTTGGGTGAGGATTAAAAAAAATACCAACTGTAGCCTGATTCCACTATTTCATTCAAGTTAAGACAGTGTGGAGGATCATTCTTTTGTGGTCTGAGGTATAGTTGTGTCTGTACCTAATTCCCTGCTCTGCTGTCAGCCTAGCACTGCCCTGAGCCTGGCTGAGCCTGTCTGCATCATTGAAGAGCCGGTGTGGAGCCTGCAGGGCCTCCCCCGAAGGTGAGGGTAGGGACCAACAGCTCCTGGCATCCACCTGGGGTAGTGTCTCTGTGTCCTGGCAGTTTGGTCCTAGAAAATTTAGGGGAAGCACAAGTTATGTTGGGGTTTGGTCTCTGGCTGCCCGGCTTTCTTGTTCTCTGCCTCATGGTGGCTGTGGGCAATGTGATGGCTTGTCACCTGGAAAAGCCTTTCGGGCAGGTAGGAAAAAATGGTGAAAGGCTGGAAGAATTCAGCTTTAGTTTATTTTCTGTTGTTTCTTGCTTTTCCTCAGAGCTAGGAAAAGGCCTGGTGCTTCTGTATTATGTATAAAGATTGCACAGTAGGCTTACCCTTCACTTTTTTGTTGACTCTTTTCCTCAATATTGAACTTTCTCTATCACATCCTGTGTTTGCAGTGTGTGACTGCCAGTCTGGGCTATGAGGCTCAGTGGAAAGAAAACTGATCAGAAATGTCCATTGTTTCTCTTAGCAAAGTGTAAGGTGATTATCACCTTCAATCAAGGACTGCGAGGAGGGCGTGTGGTAGAGCTGAAGAAGATAGTGGATGAAGCTGTGAAGCACTGCCCGACCATCCAGCATGTCTTGGTAGCTCACAGGACAGACAACAAGGTCCACATGGGGCATCTGGATGTCCCACTTGAGCAGGTGAGTTTACCTTGCTTTGTATGGTTTGAGGAGGAGAGTAGATTGTTGGCTTAACTGGGTCTGAGTCTTGTCAGATTGTGGTTCTGAATGTGGGGTTGCTCAGAGGTGTCCAGGGTTCCCCTGTAGTTTTGATGGGCTTATATCCTGGGTGGGAAGATAGAACTCAAATACCACAAATACAGTGTAACAGTTAATGTAACAGAAATGATGGGATTCATTCTTCTATTTTGTGTCTTCTCAGCATCTAAACTTGAACCAGGGCAGGCCAGAGAAGTGAGCTCTAATCCAGTCAGCCTGAGTCTCACAGTAGCCAGGGAGAGGTGTTCTCAGGGAAGCCAAATGGAGAGGAGAGGCTAACTGCCCTGGGTGGGGCTGTTTTTGTCTTCTCCCTTACAGGAAATGGCCAAGGAGGACCCTGTGTGTGCCCCAGAGAGCATGGGCAGTGAGGACATGCTCTTTCTGCTATACACATCTGGGAGCACTGGGATGCCTAAGGGCCTTGTGCACACCCAGGCAGGCTACCTGTTGTATGCTGCCATGACGCACAGGGTATGACCATGGTGGCAAGTGGAGGGTGGGAGGTGCTTGCCTCCCTGGCAAGATTGAGCAGGGGCTAGGTGAGAATGAATTTAGGGTTTAGAACTCCCGCTGTAAAGTGGTTCCCATGGGTAAGAGGGACTCATGTTTTCCCATGGTGCTCTCATACTAGCCCCAGGACTTCAAGGAAAGAAATCTCTAGACTGTTGAAAGACTTGACAATTTGTGTCTGAGTTGTATTAAAAATCCTTTTTCAAAATGCTGTGGGGTTTTTGGATATGGGTTTCCTGATTGACCAGAGCAATGAAAGTACAGTCTTCCTTGAAAGAATCCATACTCTCTCATCCCCTGCTTGGACATGACTCCACAGGGACCTAGCCACGTCCAAACCACCACTGTGCTGTCTGGGAACTCCTGGAGAATCTCACCTTTTGTCTCTGGCAGCAGAAAACTAGAGCCCCTTGTTCCCCGATTTAAAAAAAAATATTGTGTAATAGAGCACATACAGAAAAACATCCAAATCAAATGTGTGGCTTAATAAATTATTATAAGGTAAACCCATTTCATTCAGGAAATGGAATGTCGCTATTCTTACGGAAGCCCTTTCACAGCTCTTCCACTCTCAGCCCTCTTTGCACATTCTGACTTGTATAGCGTAGCATCAGTGCCTTATGTTTTCCTTTTTCTAGTTATCACCTGGATATGCATCCTTAGATCCTGTAGCTTACTCTTGCCACTGACATATTGTGCTGTGTCTTTTAAGCCTTTTCTTTAAAAAGATTTTATTTACTTTTATACAGAGGGGAAGCAAGGGAGAAAGAGAGGGAGAGAGACAACAACGTGTGGTTGCCTCTTGCACGCCCCCTACCAGGCATGTGCCCTAGACTGGTACTTGAACTGACAACCCTTTGATTTGCAGGCCAGAACTCAACCACTGAGCCAAATCAACCAGGGCTCTTTTAAGTCTTTTTTACCCTAAAGGTTTCCCTCCATTCCTTCCATTTCCTTCAACTTTGTTGTAGTATCTGGCCATTTTTCCCTCTGTCCTCCATGTTTCCTGCAAAGGGCATTTAGATCCAGAGATGTGATCAGGCTCAGGTTGGACCCTTTGGCAAGAATGCAGGAGATACCCATCTCTCCTCCCAGGTTCTTAGAAGCTAATGATGCTTGAGGCACTTCTAGGTCTTTTTTATTTAAATTTTTTGCAGCTTTTAAATGATTTTTAAAATTGTGGCATAATTTAATTCTTAAAGATGCCCTTATATATACCACTAGATAAAGTTTTACCTGTGAGTACATGTGGGCATGGGGCATCTTCAGCCCCTGGAAGGTCCTTACCTACCCCTCAAAACCAGGACCCCAGCAAGACCAGTTGTAGTGTGACCTCTGCATACAGATTGGCTTTCTCAAGCTGGGATCATGCAGTGTACACTCTGAGGTCTGGCTTCTTTCATTGTCCTCTGAGTCACTGTGTTCTTGTACCAATAACTCTGTCTTTTAACTTACTCCTCTGCTCTTGGTGGCCATGGAGCAGCTGCCTCTTGTAGTTATAGAACACTCTTAGTGACGTGTGGGAATGTGGGGTTATAGGCTTCTGACAGCCTCTCCTGTTTCTTCAGCTTGTGTTTGACTACCAGCCAGGAGATGTCTTCGGCTGTGTGGCTGACATCGGCTGGATCACTGGACACAGCTATGTGGTATATGGACCCCTTTGCAATGGAGCAACCAGTGTCCTTTTTGAGAGCACCCCAGTTTACCCTGATGCTGGTGAGGACTGGAAACCCGAATAGGGTCCCTGGGAGGGAGCTTGAGGGAGGAGGAGAGGTGCACAAGTGGGTGGTGTAAAGGCCTGTACTCTGGCCTGGTTGTGGTTCACGGTCCCATTGCATAGCTGCCAAGCCTTGGGCTTTGCTGAATGGGCCAGAGCTGGGGGCCTTGTCCACAATACAATCAGATGAGTAATAGAAGGAGGTCTAATTTGGTACTGGAATCTGTCTCAAGACCACCCACTGCAGAATTCTTTAACTTAAGCTGTGTGTCTCAGGCTGTTCCTCTTACGTCAAGAGCCTCCAGACCAGGTCCAGTCTTTCCTTGAAGTCCATGCCACTTACAGTTTCTGCAGGTCCCCCAGATGGAGAAGGAAAGCCTTCCACCTGTGCCTCCAGGGCTGTTCTGTCAAAGTGTGTCATGCATGGCCTGGTGCCACCTCCATGAATTGATTTCACTTGGAGAACATGGTTGTGTCTTGCTTACCTCAGCATCTTCCTCCCACTCAGCTCAATGACCTCAAGTATTTTTTTAATGTAATCCAGTGATGGTGGCCCTGCCAGAAGGCTCTTGCCCAAACATCCCACAGCGCTGACAGTTGTGTGTGGAACATCTTTGTTGTCATTTCCCCTTGCTCCTCTCTAGTCTCCCTTTAGGAAGGATATGTAGGGGGCATAGCTAGAGATTAAGAGCCATGTCTTAGATGCAGTCACTTCTACCTCTTTAAATGCAGCTTCCTGTGTATAGAGCAATGGTGGAAGTTCAGGGGATGGGCAGGTGGGGAGAGCAACTTATAGGAAATGAGATGAGTGCACCCTGGGCAGTTGCCCTGCTTCCTGGGATGCATGCATTAATGACCTGTCTGCAGTATTCCAGGGGAGCACCAGTCACCACTGTAGAGAGCATTTAAATGCAACTAAACACAAGTTCTATGTTAATGCTACATGGGTTATTTTTAAATTCACAGTAATATCTTTTTAACTGATTCCTCACTATATCATATGAGGTACACTGTGTAAGTGTGGGTGTCTGGAGCCAGGTAAAGACTCTTTACAAAAGGGCCAGCCTGTAGATGGCTGTGTGCTGCGGGACAACTGCCACAGGGAACCTTCCCAGAGGTCTCCCTTCCGATCCCGTGATGGGTATTGAATCTTGCTTTTACAAACAATGTAGGTATTTGCATGTATTCAGTACTGAGTTTGTTGACTGATCTCTAAATTAGGTTAAAATAGATACTGTTTGGTGGGCTCTTAGACTGACTGAATTGGAGCTCTTTTGTAGGTCGGTATTGGGAGATGGTGCAGAGATTGAAGATCAATCAGTTCTATGGTGCCCCGACGGCTATTCGGCTGTTGCTGAAATATGGAGATGCCTGGGTGAGGAAGTACGACCGCTCATCCCTGCGGACACTGGGGTCAGGTGAGCACTGCTCTGTAGCTAGAGAGGGCATGGGTACTGTCTATCAGAGCTACTGCAGGTTTCTAAATAATTTTAATCACGAAAGCTATGTGGTCATGTCTGTGACCACAGACATGATGCATTCAAACAATGCCAGTCTACGTCAAGTAGGAAGAGAGGCCTCTCAGCCCCTCCTCAGAGCTATGTGGTCATGTCTGTGACCACAGACATGATGCATTCAAACAATGCCAGTCTACATCAAGTAGGAAGAGAGGCCTGTCAGCCCTTCCTCAGAGACCACAGCTATTAACAGTATGGAACACAGCATTCCAAACACTTTCTGTACTTATTATGGGTTTCATCCTCATGAATTCTTACCAACTCCATAAGTTAAGGGCTGAGTCCTTTCTTCAGTGGCTGCATGGGATTGCTCTGTGGAAATCAATTACTGTACACTGAGTATTCCTGTGATGTTGGGTAATGATTATTTCCAAGCACTGTTATAAATGTCATTATGTGCTGTGCTGTGCACTGCTCTCACTTTAGATATTTTCAGGCAGGTAGTTGTAAGATCAAGGGTTATCTTCAATTTTAGTTTGACAAAGGTTGCCAAGTTATATGAAGGCTTTTGGCAAAGGTGAAATGGGATTACTTCAGAAAGTACTGGGAAGTCCTGCCTGTTCTCTCTGCTTTTCCCTGGTTCATTTCACTTCTGAACCAACATGTGTTGTCAGGTGTGGTCAGGAGGAAAAAATGGTGAGAGGTCCTCCATGTTCCTTGGTGAATACATAGACCTGCTTTGTAGTTTTTCATGGGATATATCTTTCTACCAGTTTTCTCCATGGAAAAGAGAGCTTAGTGACAGTGTGTACCCTAACTTGTCAGTCATGAGGACAAGCAATGCTGATACAGAACTTAGGGCCTTGGTTTACTCTGTCTGCCTTGCCTACAGTGCCCCATTGCCCCCTTCCACCTTAGGATCCCAGCCCTCCCTCAAAGCCTCTCTCTATGCTGCTTCTCCTGGGGATTTCCTTGGATGTTCTGGACATTGGGTTGTTGGCTGTCAGATGAGCTGTATGCTTCATACCTGGACAAGGCCAGCGTGGTGCTAGTCTCCTGCTGTGATAATAGACCAACATGGGAGACCCTGGTCAGGACAGACCTTGGTTAGCTGCTGCATCTGGAAGGTCCTGAACAAGAGGCAATCATCATGACAGTATTTAAGTATTTTAGCAACAGTATGTCTAAACCTGCACCTTCTGGCTAAATGCTAGTCTGGTGTGAGTATAGTGTAGTATACATCAATGTAGTGTCTTAGTGTTAGTATTTCAACATAAACTTGGGAGGCATACACATTCAGACCACAGAAAGTAGACATTGAGAATTGGCAACAGAGTCATAGGGCATAAGCACTTTTCCCTCTCTATTAAGATATAAGGCCCTGGCTGGTGTAGCTCAGTGGATTGAGCGCGGGCCTGGGAATCAAGCAACCATGGTTCGATTCCCAGTCAGGGCACATACCTGGGTTGCAGACCAGTTCCCAGCAGGGGGACACACAAGAGGCAACCATACATTGATATTTCTCTCCCTCTCTCCTTCCCTTCCCCTCTAAAGATAAATAAATAAAAGCTTTAAAAAAAGATATAAAATACAGTGAAATGCACAAATGTAGGTGTTCAGCTTGAGAACTATTTGCATATATACATATATGTTACCACACCCAGATAAAGCCATAGAAATGTCCAGTCCCCAGAAAGCTCCTTTATGCTCCCTCCCACTCAGGAGCCCTCAGATATATTACTTGGCTGTTCTCAGTGTGGATTGATTTGCTTATTCTTGAACTTCATACACATGGACTTATTATTCATGTGTTACTATTGTGCCTGCTGCAATTGCTTTGGGCCATGACTCTGAGGTTAATCCCTATGGTAGTAGTGACTTACTTGTTTTCATGTTGTATGGTAGTTCACTGAATGAATATACCACACTTTATTTCTCCATTTGACTTTTGATGGATAGCATTTTAATTTTTGGCCACAGTGAACACCCTTGTATGTGTCCATTTTCAATAAACATAGGCTCTTGTTTTTGTGGAGTGTGTGTCAGGAGTAACATTTTACATAATAGGATAAATCTATATTAACTTTAGTGTAATCCACACCAAACAATTGACCAAAGTAGTTGTATAGGGTTTATGCATTCTTAAATATTAAGAGAAATATCCAAATTGCTATATCAAATTACACTTCTTTTTTATAAATTTTTTTTTGTTTTTTTTTAAATTTTATTTAGTTATTTTTCAAGTACAGTTTTTTGTCTATTTTTCCCATCCCAGCCTCCCCCGCCCCTTGCTCCCCACCTCTCTCCCATTTCCACCCCCCTTAGTTCTCGTCCCTGTGTCCTTCCTATTTGTTCCTCCAAATCCCTCCCCCTTTTTCCCCTTAACTTCCCTTCCTTCTCCCCTCTGGTCACTATCCCCTTGTTCTCTATTTCAGTGTCTTTGTTTTTTTGTTTTTTTTTTCCTGCTTGCTTGTTTGTTTTGTTGTTTAGCTTCCTGTTAAAGGTGAGATCATATGGTATTTGTCTTTCAGCACCTGGCCTATTTCACTCAGCATAATGCTTTCCAGTTCCATCCATGTTGTTGCAAAAGGTAGTTGCTCCTTCTTTCTCTCTGCAGCATAGAATTCCATTGTGTATATGTACCACGATTTTTGGATCCATTCATTTACTGATGGGCACCTAGGTTGCTTCCAACTCTTGGCTATTGTAAATTGTGCTGCTATGAACATTGTGGTGGATAGGTTCTTTGAAATTGATGTTTTAGGATTCTTAGGATATAATCCCAGCAGTGGAATTGCTGGGTCAAAAGGCAGGTCGATTTTTATTTTTCTGAGAAAATTCCATAGTGTTTTCCATAATGGTTGTACCAGTCTGCAATCCCACCAACAGTGAACTAAGGACCCCTTTTCCCCACACCCTCTCCAACATTTGTTGTTTGTTGCTTTGTTTATGATAGCCATCCTGACTGGTGTAAAGTGGTATCTCATTGTGGTTTTAATTTGCATCTCTCTGATAGCTAACGATATTGAGCATTTCTTCATGTGTCTCTGAATGTTCTGTATGTCCTCCTTGGAGGAGTGTTTGTTCAAGTCTTTTTCCCATTTTTTAATTGGGTTGGGTGTCTTCTTAGAGGGGAGTCGTGTAAGTTCTTTGTATATTTTGGAGATTAAACCTTTGTCCGAGGTATCATTGGCAAACATGTTTTCCCATACAGTTGGTTGTCTTGCTAATTTAATACTGTTTTCTTTAGCCATGCTGAAGGTTTTTATTTTGATGAGATCCCATTTGTTTATTCTTTCCTTTACATTCCTTGCTCTAGGGGACATATCAGTAAAGAAGTTGCTGCGTGAAATATCTGAGATTTTCTTGCCAGTGTTTTCCTCTAGGACTTTAATGGTGTCACGACTTACATTTAAGTCTTTTATCCACCTTGAATTTATTTTGGTGTATGGTGGAAGTCTGTGCTCAAGTTTCACTTTTTTGCACGTAGCTGTCCAGTTCTCCCAATACCATTTGTTGAAGAGGCTATCTTTCCTCCATTTTATGTTACTGCCCCCTTTGTCAAATATTAGTTGACTGTAGAGAGTTGGGTTGATTTCTGGGCTCTCTGTTCTGTTCCATTGGTCTATGTGCCTGTTTTTATGCCAATACCAGGCTGTTTTGATTACAGTGGCCTTGTAATACAGTTTGATATCATGTTTTGTGATCCCCCCTACTTTGTTCTTCTTTCTCAAAAGAGCAGCTGCTACTCGGGCTCATTTATGATTCCATATAAATTTTCGAAGTGTTTGTTCTATGTCTGTGAAATATGGCATTGGTACTTTAATAGGTATTGCATTGAATCTGTATATTGCTTTGGGTAGTATGGACATTTTGATGATGTTAATTCTTCCAATCCATGAACAAGGTATATGTTTCCATTTGTTTGTGTCTTCCTTCATTTCTTTCTTCAGTGCTGTGTAGTTTTCTGCATACAGGTTTTTTACCTCCTTAGTTAGGTTTATTCCCAGATATTTTATTTTTCTTTTTGCTATATCAAATGGGATTTTTTCCTTGATTTCTGCTTCTGCTGATTCACTGTTGGTATACAAAAATGCCTTTGATTTCTGGATATTGACTTTGTAACCAGCTGTTTTGCCAAACTCATTAATTAGTTCGAGCAGTTTTTGGGTAGAGTCTATAGGATTTTCCATGTACACTATCATGTCATCTGCAAAGAGTGACAGTTTTGCTTCCTCCCTTCTGATTTGGATGCCTTTTATTTCCTTTTCTTGCCTGATCGCTGTGGCTAAAACTTCCAATACTATATTGAATAGAAGTGGTGAAAGTGGACATCCTTGTCTTGTTCCTGATCTTAGTGGAAAAGCTTTTAGTTTTTTCCCACTGAGTATGATATTGGCTGTAGGTCTCTCATATATGGCCTTTATTATTTTGAGAAATGCTCCCTGTATTCCCACTTTGCTGAGTGTTTTTATGATAAATGGGTGTTGTACCTTATCAAAAGCTTTTTCTGCATCTATTGATATGATCATGTGATTTTTGTCTTTGCTTTTGTTTATGTGATGTATTACATTTACTGATTTGCGAATATTGAACCATCCTTGCATCCCTGGGATGAATCCCACTTGGTCATGGTGTATGATCTTTTTGATATATTGTTGGATGCAATTTGCCAATATTTTGTTGAGGATTTTAGCCTCTATGTTCATCAGCGATATTGGCCTGAAGTTTTCTTTCTTTGTTGTGTCTCTATCTGGTTTTGGAATTAAGATGATGCTAGCTTCATAAAAAGAATTTGAGAGTTTTCCATCCTTCTGGATTTTTTGGAATAGTCTGTGGAGAATAGGGGTTAGCTCTTCCTTAAATGCTTTGTAGAATTCTCCTGTGAATCCATCTGGTCCAGGGCTTTTGTGTGATGGGAGTTTTTTTATTACTGCTTCAATTTCTTTTGCTGTTATTGG